AGATCATCTCCTTTCAGCTCAGCCAACTGCCCTCAGGGGCCGACATGATACACAAGTTAGGTCTACAACAAAATATCCCATTCCCTTCATTTGACAAGACTGCTCCCGGGGTTACCAGAACCACGCAGAATACACAGTCCGCTGGCTGTGTCTTCAGCTTTCGCATGACGGCAGGTCATAACTAAGAGGTATGGTCCGATGGAAAGGCCATGACTCCAAACTTCATCTAAAAGTAGAGTTTCTCCTTAAACAGATGAAGGGGACTGAGGGTACGGTGATGGTGATGAGCGCCAAGTCAGGTAGAGAGGCCCCAAACCAACACAACATTGCGTGTTAACTACACATGTAAACACCAGAGTGTCTCCCTAACTGTACTTGGGCCCTAGCACAGTGGGTGGTCACTTGGTGTGGCTTCCTGTTCCCTTTCTCAGGCAGCCTCTAGCCTCACCTTTCTAAGGCTTCTGATCCTTCTAGGGCTGGCCGCTAGAGAGTCAGAGGGGTGGCTGGTAAGAGGTTGGCAGTGGTCTGGGATGGGGACTCATGTGGTCCCGCACTGGTGGTCTCTGGGCTTGGGTGGGCGTTCAATGCTGGGTCCCTGAGAGAGGTCCCCACACTTACCATGCCTCTGTCAGCTGCCAGGCATCCTGCAGCCCACTCCCCTGTTCTGGGGTCCCGTGGCCCCTATAGACAGTTCTCCTGGGCAGGATTTGGAAAGGCTGTAGGCTGGAGCCCTTCCGAGTCATCCACATCTGGCCTAGAAGGAGTCTGCATCTGCTACCGGGAGGGCTTCGGGGACCACGACGGGCGGTGCAGGGACCCTTGCTCCTCTCTGCATAGCCTCCTGCCCTTGGGCTGAGGCACGTGTCGCTCACCAGCCCCTTCTCTCTCTTGCTCGCAGGCGCACACCCAAACTTCCAGGGGACACAAGGCAGGCTCTATGGACGGTCCCCTGCAGGCAGCCCCTATCATCTGACACAAAGTGCAGGACAGCGCCCGCCTCCCCTCTTTCGTGGAGGCGGGCAGATGAGTGACAGACCAAACGAGCAGCTTTCTCTTGAGAATCTCTCTCTCAGCTTCTTCATCTCGGCAGTTTGTGCCCTTGAAGTGGGCTCAACATCCTTCCTCTTAGGACCTGGATGGTGGTCTCCCATCACTCGGGAATGGAGGCAGCACCCATTGTTTTCTTCTCAAAATAGTCTGGGTTCAGTCAAATTGAGTAAAAGTCCCACTTTATTTGTTTGTTTATTTATTTAAGTTCATTTTGAGAGAGAGAGAGAACAAGTGGGAGAGGGGCAGAGAGAGAGAGGGACAGAGGATCCGAAGCGAGGTATGTGCCGACAAGCCCGATGCAGGGCTCCAACCCACGAGCCGTGAGATCACGACCTGACCCGAAGTCAGACACTTAGCTGACTGAGCCACTCCAGGTGCCCCAAGTAAGAGTCCCATTTTAACAGCCAGGTGCACATACACACACACACACACACACACACAACCACACATGTACACAGGGGCACACAATCTGTGATGGCATCAATCAGAATGAAAGATTCCCAGGCTCAAGACATGGTAGCCACAGGTTTCATGACACTTATTTTGTTGCTGCTGTTTTAAATATATTGAATCACAGTAATAATTTATAAATATATTAATGTCGTTCATTTAAAGACCACAGATCAAGCTAAGTTCCCTGGTGTCCATTCCTTCCCAAGGGAATGACCACTCTTTCCAGATTAATGTAGCTTAATTTTAAAACCAGAGCTCAGAGGGCGCCTAGTTGGCTCAGTCGGTTAAACGTCTGGCTTCGGCTCAGGTCCTGATCTCATAGTTCCTGAGTTCAAGCCCCACGTCGGGCTCTGTGCTTACAGGTCAGAGCCTGGAGCCTGCTTTGGATTCTGTCTCCCTTTCTCTCTGCCCCTCCCCCACTCACACTCCATCTCTCTCTCTCAAAAAAATAAACATTAAAAAAAAATTTTTTTTAGACCAGACAATGTAGGACAATGTAGATGAGAGCTGTCACTGTATCAGTGTTAGGCTTTTTCTGTTCATAATTTTCTGTTCACTTACAAACACACAAAATACATAATGTAATGTTATGTTTATGTATGTTTTACTTATTTTACTTCCGTGGTACTTACTGTTCTATAACTTGCTTTGTCCTTTCTTTTTAAGTTTTTATTTTAATTCCCGTTAGTTAACATACTATGTACAATGTAGTGATTCGACAATTCTGTATTCAGTTCTCATCGTGACAAGTGCCCTCCTTAATCCCCATCACCTACTTCCCCCATCACCCCACTTGCCTCCTCTCTGGTGATGATCAGTGTGTTCTCCATCTGTTCCGTGGTTTCTCTCTCTCTCTCTCTCTCTGTCTTTGCTTGTTTATTTTGTTTCTTTAATTCCACATATGAGTGAGATCATATGGTATTTATCTTTCTCTGACTTATTTCACTTAGCATGATACTCTCTAGCTCCATCCACATCATTGCAAATGGCAAGATTTTATCATTTTTATGGCTGCCTGATATTCCACTGTACGTATACGTCACATCTTTATCCATTTATCAGTCAATGGTCACTCGGGCCCTTCTGTATCTTGGCTATGGTAAATAATGTTGCTATAAACATCGGGGCTCATGTATCCCTTTTAACTTACAACTTGCTTGTTTCACTTAATATGTTTTTTCTTCTTCTTTTTTAAGTTTATTTATTCTAAGAGAGAAGGAGAGAGAGGGAAAGAGAGAGAAGAGAGGCAGAAGGAGGGGCAGAGAGAGAGCAGGCAGGGGAGAGGTAGAGACAGAGACAGAGAATCCTGAGCAGGCTCCACACTGTCAGAGCAGAGCCCGATGTGGGGCTCAAACTCACAAACCTGTGAGATCATGACCTCAGATGAAATCAGGAGTCAGATGTATAACCAACTAAGCCACTCAGGCACGCCTTTTCAATCTTTATATACTTATATAGAGAGATTTTATTAATTCCTTCTGAGGGCTGTATAGTATTCCAAAAAATATGTGCTTTACTTAACTACTTAAATATTAATGACCTTTAATTAGGTGCTAATTATTTACTTGTTCAAAAAGTGCGACAAAGATGCCTTGGAACATACTTGCGTGTGGCCATGCATATTACTCTCCACCAGACGCTGTGAAGCACCGATAACAAGTGGGAAAATGCACTGATTCCCACCAACAACAGCTTATTTCCCTACACTTTTGCCTAAACTCGGGGTGAAGTCTTTTAAATATTTATGCAAGCAAATAGGTAAGAAATAACAAGATCTTGCTCTTCACACGTCCATGTCTCTGATAGGCAGGCGGGTGTATGCTCCCATATCTGTTCTTCATCTGTGTTTATGTTGTCCTGATAGTTAATACACTCTTCACCCACTTTCTCATACTTTGTCTTTTTATTTATTATCTTAAAGTTTAAAAAGCCCCACTCCTTTATCTGATACCATACTGTTATTAATTTCTACCCTCTCATCCCTGCCAATGACCTCTTATGGCATCCATCGTTACAGATCGGTTTCATGCTTTCTGTATCCCACGGGAGCCCTCTGAGTAGACGTAGGTGTAGCTGGATGTAGCTTTAACTTCATTTCTCAGGCTTTAGACTCATTGTGATCATGTTCTGGACCTTCTCATTCCATTTCCCAGGCCCCATAACGTTGCTATTACTCCTCATTACCTCCCTGAGCTTTATTCTGTCTCATTGACTTAGCTCTACCTTCTATTTCACTCATTCAGTCTTCTAGCTACATCTAGTCACTTAGTTTCCTGTTTTAATGCCTAAGTTTGTCATTTGTATTTCAAGTAGTCTTTCTTAAATCTGCCTGTTCTTTTGGGTCTTTTCTTATGTTTTAGAGTCTATACTATATTTCTTCAATTGTTTCAAGCAGGCTTATATAATGCGTTTATCAGTTTATTTTACCCTTGGAAGCTCTCAGCAATTTGATCTGGCTACAGGTTGCATCTGAGAATTCGCTTTGGATGGTTGCTTCCATGACTGTTTACAATTTTGGATCTCGAAGTCATTAAGCGGAGCTTCACCTTCAGTAATTCCATGGGATCTGTGTTGAGGAAATCAGCCTGGGCCCAGTTCTTAGTTGAGTTGTTCAGCTGTGAAAGAGTTCTCAGACAATAAAAACAGTGTAAATGCCAACCCCCGACTCTCCATGACATAGTGATGAATTTTCAGAATTTTCAGGAGAGGCTCTTTATTTTCAAACAGGAGCTCAGGACGGTGTAAGTCATCATTGTCTCACTGTTGCAAGGCACAGAGCCTCTGTAACTCAGTTCCGAATTCCTGCGAGGGCTCTGGCTAGATACTAGGATCTCCATTATAATCGCCTTCCTGGCAGAGGTCCAAGCCTCCATCTCTCATTCCCAGGGACCTCGAGCTCAAGACTGAAACTGTTGTCAGCTCCTCACCCCAGTCCCAGGGTCACTGAAAAGTTAGCTCATACTGCAAACTTTTCATTACGTCCATGGGGATATCTCTTACTATCTTTGGAGCTATGTCTTTAAAAAGATGTTTGTCGTATTTTATCTTGTATCTTCAAGATTTTATAATAGACAGGTTTTGGGGCAATTTAATCAACTGGGATCTTCTGGATGAAATTTCAGACTGTCAATTTTAACATCCAGTCTATACATATATCAGTTGAGAGACAAGGGAACACAGAACTAGAAAGAATATTACAATCCATTAAGGTAACCCATGCAGGACCCTTCATTTTAGAGAAGCAGAGACTTAGCAGAGACTAAGACCAGGGTAACCGTGGCCTTCCTAAGTCCACACATTTGGCTACTGATAGAGCCGGGACAACATATCAGGTCCCCTGAAGCCTGGTCTAGTACCTTTCCCACCAAATATTTCCTCCTACTTCTTAGAACTGGGGCAGTGCCATGTGTGATGTTGGACACTTTTCACCCTATATTTGCTTTTGTGTTTTTTTATTTCAGGAGGCGAACACCAGTCCCTGGGAGAAGACAACCAAAATGTCCAGTCGAGCAGAAGCAAAGGCAGCGGGCGATATTTCCAGTGATCGTAATTTCAATATGGCTCAAGCGCAAACCTCCAGGAAAGGTAAATTCACATACTGGGGTCTGTGTCATTTTGACTTCCCTTTTGATGACACACAGCATCTTCTTGCTACCACCAACTGCCAGGGACTCTATATAGCTATAAAGCATTTTTTTTTCCAGATAATTTATTGTCAAGTTGGTTTCCATATAACACCCAGTGCTCATCCCCACAAGTGCCCTCCTCCAGCCCATCTTTCCCCTCACCCCCCACACCTATGAGTCCTCAGTTTGTTCTCAGCATTCAAGAGTCTCTAATGGTTTGCCTCTCTCCCTCTCCCCCACCATTGCCCCCCTTCTTCTCCCCCATGGTCCTCCGTTAAGTTCCTCCTAATCCTCCTATACGTGCAAACATATGATATTTGTCCTTCTCTGCCTGACTTATTTCGCTCAGCTTAACACCCTCAAGGTCCATCCATGTTGCTATAAAGCATTTTTTTACTGAGAATTATTTGACTTCTTGCAAGAAACCTTGAAGGTACATAGGACAGGTAGGTATCAAGACATTATTTACAGATAAATGAAAATTCAGAGCAGATGCTAAGTACAAACCATGGAAATCAGTCTTGGTATTTCTGATTCTAAGCCCTGGAGCATCCCATTAGATCCCTCTGTCCAAACAGATCCAGACCTGCCTCAAAGAGAGAAGGCTTTTCCTTTCCACCATATCCTAGAAGTTGCGTTCTCTCCTCCATGTTGTCTATAGCACAACTGAGTGCTTCTCACTCAGAAAAATTGTTGAACACCTTAGTTTACTCTAAATTCCTAATGACTCATAGCTATGTGATTCATTAATTTTCTTATGGATATAACCTTTTCATAAGATATTGCCTTTGAGGGGGTGCCTGGGTGGCTCAGTGGGTGAAGCATTCGACTCTCGATCTCAGCTCAGGTCATGATCTCAAGGTTCATGAGTTCGAGCTCCACTGCAGGCTCTGCAGGCTCTCTGATAGCAAAGAGGCTGCTGGGGATTCTGTCTCTCCCTCTCTGCACCTCCCCCATGTATGTGCATGCTCCTTCTCTCCTGCTCTCAAAATAAATAAATAAACCTAAAAATAGATAATGCCTTTGAAAAGTAAAGCACTAACCAAGATGGGATGCTTTGCAATACTTAACATTTTAGCCAGTGTGTCTGCTGGGAAGTGGGCATATCTCAAGGACAAGAGGATTCTCCGAATCTTACCTACCAAAGAAGAAATCAGGAGATGTGCCTTCCAATACTCCATCCACAGTTAACTATGAACCATTTGACCTGGAATGAATACTATTCCAATGCCTCAGTTTCCTCATCTGCAAAATGGGAGAGCTTGACTCTTGTATCTCTAAGACCTCATCCATTTCTAAACACTTAAGAGTCTATAGGACTATACCATTGGCCAAATTCTCCAATCCTAACTCTCTCTCTCTCCAAGATCAGAAATATAAGGAACTTATGTATAAACCTATGTTTGCAATCCCGATTTTGCCATTTATGAGCTGTGTGAACTTAGGGAAGTTAAACTTTGTGTGTTTCCGTTCCCTTATTTGTAAAAACAAAATAGTAGTATATACCTCATATCATAATTAATGAGGATTAAATGACTTATAATATGTAAACCATTTAGAACAATGCCTGGCACACAGTAAAAAATATATAAACTTTATATACAGTTGATAATCATCAGCTCTCACACAGTGTTCTGTGCTTAACCTACTTTTTGGCAGTGGTGGCACTCATAGGTGATCTTCCTGGTTTCTTCTACAGTCTTCTAGGGCATCCACCCTATCATCTTGCTTAGTCTTGTGCTGAGCACCCCAGGAGCTACAGCTATATCAGGAAATCCCTTTGTAACCCATCTGACCTGTCATTACAAATGGCATCATGCTAATAATAATAATTTCTTAGATTTTGATGAGGCAGCACCCCAACTACTCCTCATTGTCCCACCTGGCTATTTGTTGAGCTTCCAAATATTTCTCACAGTGCTTATGAATAGACCCTGATGGCTGTTTCATCCATTGTTGGCCAACATCAGTTTCCATCCAACTCTCTCTCTCTCTCTCTCTGGCCCACACTTGCCGGACGCTCCTGGGTCCTCTGCCTCAGGGCACTGCTGGGGTTTCCTCTGGGTGCTGGTGCCACCAAAGGTACTACCATCTTTGCTGGGCATGACTGTGCTTTTTTTTTAATTTAATATTTTTATTTATTTCTAGGAGAGAGAGAGATAGACAGCGTGAGCAGGGGAGGGTCAGAGAGAGAGGGAGACACAGACTCTGAAACAGGCTCCAGGCTCTGAGCTGGCAGTCAGCACAGAGCCCGACGCGGGGCTCGAACCCACGAACCGCGATATCATGACCTAAGCGAAAGTCGGACGCTTAACTGACTAAGCCACCCAGGGGCTCTGGCATGACTGTGTTTCTAAGAGACTCACTGAACCAAACCCTGGTATTCCATGGGACACATAGAAATGCCCCTCCCCCATTACATGTCACATCCAGTCACCTGGCCACATAATGGAGTTGCTTCTGCTCCTGTCCACCTAGAGACCCCGGGAAAACCTGGATGGTGAGGTTCTTCTAGAAGTCAATGGTATGTCTCTAATAGGGTCAAGTAAAGGTTCATGGGGCAGAATGGGACAGACACCACATCGAACTTCCTATCCCCTATCTCCCAGAAGCCTGTGAGCTTCGGTCTGGGTTCAGTAAGAAAAACAAAAGCTGCTCTATATAGTTCAAGAAAAAAGGGGCTTAATATAAGGGACTGGGAGGCTCCACAGGCTTCGGAGGGCTAGAGGAGCAAGAATCATATCAACCCCTCTTGGGAAGCCCAGGAGTGCGGGACAGATGGGCCCCTCTGACGACTCTGTGCCCCCCTGAGTGAGTGATTTTCAAGGGGACACCCAAACGTCACAGGCAGAAATCCCATGTCTACCATCAATGAGCCTCATACAGGGGCCCATAGCCGCCTCGTGGCATCATGGCTTCTCACCGTGTCCACCCTTCCAAACCTTGCCAGAATGCCCACATTGTTGGAATCCTGTTTGCATGGTAGATTGAGAGCTGCTATTTCCATGTATCTGTCTCTATGTTACTGTGGAGAACTTGGAAGGGCAAGGATGGCACTGAGAATCTTCACAAACAGCACCAGGCACAGCTTTGTCCTCACTATCAAGAACCCATATGGAGCACTATCAAGAAGCCCCAGCCCATGGGAGGAATGTCACCAAAAGGCCAGTCTACAATAACATCCCTTTCTGAAAGTCACAGAAATAAATACACACACACCACTTGAAAAAGTATCTCCATCTAGGTTAAAACTAGGGAACTGTTCCAAAGCGCCTCGGGGGCTCAGTCAGGCAAGCATCTGACGTTGGCTCAGGTCAAGATCTCAACAGTTCATGAGTTTGAGCCCTGCGTTGGGCTCTGTGCTGTCAGCACAAAGCGTGGAGCCTGATTCAGATTCTGTGTCTCCCTCTCTCTGCCCCTCCCCTGCCTATGCTAGCTCTCTCTCTCTTTCTCTCTCTCTCAAATATAAATAAACATTAAAAACAATTTTTAATGGAAGAGTAGTTACTTCCCTTGAATTACTGAAAGAATTCCAAGAAACCATCCCCCTTCCCCCCACACATGCTGTCACCACCACATGACACCTCAGACCACAAAGGTGGCCCACGGCAAGAGTTTCAACACGTGGGCACAAAATCACAAATGATTGACCTTTATGGTCCACAACTGCAGGGATGAAGCACGAGGGGCCCAGGTAAATACTTTAGCACAAAAAGAAATATAAAGAATGTATTAGACAAAAGAGCGATCATCGCATAGTATGTGCATGTTTTGTGCCAGGCACTGTTCTGAGCACTTTATATGGATTGATTCACTGAATCCTCACAACAACCCTTCAAGGAAGGTGCTACTAACATCATCCCCATTGTACTGGAGCCAGAATTCAAGCACAGAGGAAGTAGGGTTTAAAGCGTCAAGGCACAAAGAGGCGCCATCCGGATTTAAAGCTGAGCAGTCTGATTGCTAACCATTATAACACTGCTGTCCTTGTCTTATCTGGAAACACTGAAGTTTCTAACTTAAGTTCTCAAGAATAAGAAGAAGCTTAGAGAGTAGGAAGTAGATCAACAGGAGAATGTGAAAGAACCACCCACTGTAGATGTAAAAGGACACTAAAGAGAAAAATACATTACTTCAGAGTGAAAACGGAATTAGCTGCAGCAAGGAAGGAAATCATCACTACAGAAAATCGGATCAGTGATGTAGAGCCAAGGTGTAAAAAAGTCATGGAAGAGGCAGAGGGGTAGCAAGCCAAGTGGAGCAGAAGATGGTCGGTATGAAGAAGGGAAGAAAATGAAGATTGAATAAGAATGAATGAAAGAACTTAATTACGAATCCAGTTCACTGTGTCTACAACTTCAAGGAAAATATGTGGAGGAACAGAATAGACAACATAAATGTAGAAAAAAGTAGACTCAGATCACGAAGGAAATTGCAGTGGAACCTACACATGAGAGCTGACTCTCTGGGAGCAGATGGGGACAAGGGAAACAGAAGCATTTAAAATGTAGAAGGCATTAGTTACAGGGAAAGAGAGAATATCCATAACTTCTGTAAAAATATAATTTTAAATTTGAATTAAGAAAAATCATTCATGTCAAAAAAACACATGTAAGAAGTGAAGTAAGTTGTCAAAAAGTTTTTGACCCCTTTTAAAACAAAGTAGATCTTGGTGGTTTCACTAGAAAAATTCAGGGAGATTTTACAGAACAGAAAATGTGTGTGTATCCATTGCAGAAGAAATAAAAAATATTTGTGTACATGCCACGTGAAGGAGGGGGAGTGTAGTTCCTCACTCCTTCAGTGGAGATTGTGCATGTGACTTCTTCCAGAGGATGGTCTGGAAAGGGAGAAAGCAGGAGGAACTGCCCAGTGGAGAAACTGATACTACCTCACACCAGGTGAGTGAAGGCTAAGTGATTAGTCATGTTGATAGTATGGACCCTTGATATGTGATGAGAATGGCCGTCTTCCACTCAAAAGCACATTGTCTTAGTCCAATCATGAAGCAAAATCAGACAAATCCCAGTTGAGGGGCGTTCTACAAACTATCTTACAGCTACTCTTCAAAACTGTGAAGGTCGTCAAAAACCAAGAAAGTCTGAGAAAGTGTCGTAGCCATACGTATTCCAAGGACATGTGACTACTGAATGTACTATGCTATCCTGAATGGGATTCTAGAACAGAAAACAGACATCACGTAAAAACCAAGAAGTCTGAACAAAGTATGGACTTTTAGCTAGTGATAACACATCACAGCAGCTTCATCAAGTGTGACAAGCGTATCATAGTAAGAGAAGATGTTTGTAACGGGGCACCTGGGTGACTTCATGGGTTGAGCATTGACTCTTGATTTTGGCTCAGGTTGTGATCTCAGGGTCATGGGATCGAGCTCCATGTCAGGCTTTGAACTGAGCATGGGCCCTGCTTAATAGTCATTCTCTCTCTCTCTCAAAAAAAAAAAAGATGTCTGTAAAGGAGGAAAGTGGGTGTGAAGTATACAGGAATGCAGCAATTCTGTTAAGTCTAAAACTGTTCAAAAATAAAAAGTGTATTAAGAAAAAACAGAACAGCTATGTACCTAAAATACTTCGGGATATAGACTGAAATGGAAAACCGAAAACTAACTTTCTTTACAAAGCTAGCAGGTCAAAAATTACACACACACAATTATTCACAATAACATTCACCCGAATTCAATCATATGTGCTAATGTAAAATTCTAGCCACAATGCTTGCAAAATAAATCATGTGTTTTCATCAAAACATCCTATTAAGAAGAGACCATTTCAAGAAAGTAAGGAGACTCAAATGCTATTTGTAATAATTATAATGAACTTACATAAACTCAATTCTTACTCAGGGCCTTGAGGTAGGGTCTATTGTTAGCCCCATTTTGCAGATGGAATACTGAGGCTACAGATAGTTCAGTAACTTTCCCAGGAGCACAGAGCTATTACCAGAGCAGATCCGGGTATCTGACTGTGTGATTCAGATACATTTCATAAAACTCATGTATTCACATAGAAATAACAAGAAACAGGACCAGGATAGCTTCATACAATAAAAGTGCAAGTAGCACCAGCCTACTTAATGGTGTGATGTGAGAAACATTCCCAGGAAACCCAGAGATGGCTGGAGTTCTCTCCAGGACTCTCACTGCTCCTATGTAACAGGGTAGAAATTGCTGGTCAATAGATTACCCAAGAGAACGAAATAAACAGTACATATGACAAAAATAATCACCCATTGATTTTTCCAGTATTAGTACTTCACATGTATGTAGGTTTGGTTTTCTGGTCTAAGCTCAAAGGAAGAGAATACGAAAATAATAGGGAAAAGGACTGTTGTGGAAACAATAAAGAGTCCCTTAAGAAACCTGTGTGACACTTAACTGAAGATCACTGTAAACCCTCACCTTGGGCCAGAGAAATAGACGTGGATCCACAGGGAGCCATCGTTATGTTGTCTGGGAGAAGACAATCTATAAACATGGCAATCCCTCTCTATTTAATCTGCCCTATCTATCTGATGTCGCTCAAACTCCCAACATCAATTCTTGTGGATGGGGGAGTGGAGAGTCTCAACTAAATGTCGCCCGAGTTAAACCTGGCAATCCATCTGTCCGCTCCTGGAACCCGACAGGAGGATCCCCACATAGCAGGAGATGGTGCTGGCCATCTGGACCTGGTGTTTGCCAGGAGCCAGGAAACGGGGCACTCTCTTGCCTCGAGGGAGTCATTTCCAACAATTCCTCTCTCTTACTATCAACCATGCCATCTTCCTATCCCATCAACCACGGCTTCCAGCCAGTTCTTTGTCCAATTCCACTTCTTCTTCTTTTTTAAAAATGTTTATTTGTTTTGGGGGGCAAAGGTGGGGGGACAAAGGATCCAAAGTGCTGTCAGCACGGAGCCCTATGTGGGGCTCAAACCCACAAACTGTGAGATCATGACCTGAGCCAGAGTCAGACGCTCAGCCAGCTGAGCCACCCAGGCACCCCCCAATCCTACTTCTTTCCAGCCTCTCTCATGAGCTCATCCCAGAGCTGCCTGGAAAACTTTCCTAACACTTGCTCTGGCCAGTTCCACACCTTCTCCAAGTCTCCACTCAAGGAATGGTTCTGAGGAAGTTCCTGACCCCCTCACCTCCTCTCTGTTTCTGCCTCACAGACAGACTGCAATCTTCTCCCTTTTCCAGACTTAGGAAAGGTGGGAGAAAAGCACCCCAATTTTAAGACTTTTCTGTTCCCCTTCTCAGGCTTTTGTTCAGTCCGACATGGACTGGCCCTCATCATGCATCTCTGCAATGTATCGGTTGGAACCCAAAATATGAACCTGAGCGTTGCCCTCCCAGCCATGGTGAACAGCACGGCCCTGGCTGGCTCACCCAACACCTCTATGGAAACACCTCCCACTGCCTCCCAGGACAGGTGGAATGAAACTCTAAAGGAATTTAAGCCAGTGGTAAGTTTAATGAGACTCTAGACCCTTTGACCTAAAAGGTTATTTATTTATTCATGTATTTATTAAGCACCTTCTATGTTCAATGAACTCTATTTTGCATGAACATACAATATCACAAAGCAGATTATATCTCTACTTGGTGTCTAGGAGTGCAACCAAGGACTAAGCTAGTGTGCAGGAAACTTCTACTCACTAGCAGACACACATTTTCCCCCTACAAGGATGAAAATCACCACACAATTAAGTTCAACAGATTCATGTTCCTTTCGCTTTCTTCTTTCACATATTTTAAAAATCACCTTGCCTATAGTGCTTACTTTTTTGTAGCCTTTCCCTCTTTATGGGATCCCCTATATTGTGATTGGTCATTAACTGTGTAGCCAGGGAAATTGCATAAAGGCAAAGAGTACGTTGGGCATATGTTTGGGTTTTCTTAATGAACTTGGTAGACTGGAGGCACTGGAGAGAGGTGGCCAAAGATAAACAATGAGATTCTTTTTGTCACCTAGGCCCCTATGTATGACTGGAGTCCTGAAACACAGGGGATCATCCTCAGCTCTCTCAACTATGGCTCCTTCCTGGCTCCAATCCCTGTTGGCTACGTGTCTGGAGTATTTGGAGCCAAGTACTTGGTTGGTGTTGGCCTGCTTCTTTCCTCGGTCTTGACCTTCTTTATTCCACTGGCAGCTGATGCTGGAGTAGACTTGCTCATCGTCATTCGGAGCATTCAAGGCATAGCTCAGGTACCAAGACGCTTTCTAAGTATAAGTGGAATAGATAGGTTCCCAAATGACCTCAGATAGCCAAGAAGGGAACATGGTTTTGTTTTTTTCAGAGTATGGTATTAACAAGTCAGTATTCAGTTTGGGTCAAATGGGCTCCCCCACTGGAAAAGAGTCAACTCATCAACATTGCCATATCAGGTAACTGATACCTTAAATTGTCGGCTCATGTGCACTGTCCAAGAGTACTCTGCAACGAATGGCCTATCACCAGAAGCAAGACTTTACACTCCAACTACCCTGTCTCCTTGCTCTCAAGCACCACTACCCTGCAGTATCTTTTTTTCAAATCATAACTGGATGCCAACTATGCACCAGCCATTGTTATAAGTGCTTTGCACATATTAATTCCATTTTAGCCTCAGAACGATCTTATAATTCAGCTGTATGTCATTATTTTCTTTTCACACAGAAGGGAATTTGAGCTACAAATAGACTAGTACCCTGACCAGCATCACACAGCTCCTGAGTGAAGGAGCGGGGTTTAAACCAAGGTAGCCGGGATTGCAGCTCGTAACTTTAATTGCTGTGCAACTCAGCTTTGGGAAGGGGTCAGTCTGGAGGAAGTCAGAGTCCCAAGCCTGACTTTCTCACCCTGAGCATCCTCACATCTTCTGTTCAGGGCAAATGCTGGGATTATTCATCATTTTCCTCGTTGGTGGTTTGCTGTGCCAGACCATAGGCTGGCCTTATGTCTTCTACATCTTTGGTGAGTGGGGGGTTTTCAAATCTCGGGATTTTGTTTTATGACAGAGAATGCTGGGCATGATTCTCGTGTTGCAAATCATCTGCTGTTTTAAGCAAATCTCGATAGGAATATTTATATAACTAAAGTGGATAATGCTCACAGCTAATCATGTTGTGAATCTTGCAAAATGACACTTAAGCCTCAGTAGCCTGAATGTGGAGCTAGAAAAACCGAATGACTTTAAAGGCATCATAACATTCCACCCTGCTTCTAAATTGAACCCGTGAAGAACCCAGAGAGGTTCCTTCCATAAGATGTTGAGAATGTTATCTTGGTGGGATTATATTTTTAGTTACGCTTATTTATTTAATTCATTTTTTAAAAGTCTCCTATTATCACAACCAGAAAATTGTGAGACTGTGACCTAACCACAAAATGCCAAAGGGCATAGAGGGTCAACCAGTAGAACCTGCAGGGCAGGGCAGACTCTGTGAGGCTCAAGGGTGGCCGTAATGCACTCAGAGAAGCTGCAGAAGGTTCCAGAGATACACAGGCCATTCCAGAAGCAATATTCTACTACTTCACAATATTACCTTTGCCCCGCCCTGGTTGGGATCCGCTGGGCTGCTCTCAGTTAATGTTTGTGTTTGATTTTTTAAAACATTCTCTGAACCCCCACCCGCAACCTGCGTGATTCCTGTAAGACCACTGAGCCCCACAGGCTCCTCCATTTGAGGAGAAGACTCTTAGATCAAGGGTGCCTGTATCAGGTCAATATATTCACTAGAAAACAGTGTGTGAAGACGGATTACGATACCGTGGCAACCTTCAAAGGGTAGGTTACAAAAATTATTCAAGCGATGTGAGAGGCTTACTCTGCTCAAGGTTTTCAGAAAGAGTAAGCACTACCTACAAAGCAGTAACTCGGTACACTATTTGTCGACTTCCTCCATCCTCGATGAACAATGGGCGTCATTTTCGTATCTGCTCCTCCCTACTTGATTTTAAGTTCCTTGTTGGCAAAACTGTCTCTTTGTATTCTTATCTTCTCAAAACCTAGCCAAACGCCAGTGTATGGTAGTTCTGTACTCAATGATAGCTCCTCACACTGTATTCGTGAAAAAAAAAAATGTGTAAAAGACAAGCTAGCAAGTAAAAAGAGCAAGTAAAAAGAGCTACTGAGACTTTAAGACCCTAAAAGAGACAATTTTAAGATGAATTTTATTTCCACTCAACACTAATCATGCTGGGTTGTCCAACACTGTCCTAATGTATATGTAAGTGGTGAGGAAGCACCCTCCACCAATGTCAGGGCCACCCAAGAGAGTGGGGATACAGGGAAGAGTGGAGTCTTGGGGTTAGTCATTCTGTCGACCACAGCAATCATCTCAGTGTGGCATCAAACCCTTTCATCAAGGGCTAACTGGATTCTCCTCCTAGGTGGATTTGGCTGCATCTGTTCTTTTCTCTGGTTTCCTCTTGTTTATGACGACCCCATACATCATCCATTCATCAGTGCTGGTGAGAAGGAATACATCGTGCGTTCACTGGCTCAACAGGTGCACTGATGAACTTCTGTACCATTTGCCGGTGTCTGTCTGGGTATCTCAGGAGTGGAGAGGGCATGGGAGCAAAGCTCGTATCTTCTGATGGAAGGGTACTGACAGATGCTTTCTTCCAGGACTGTTCACGAGCCTGGTCTCTACCCATTAAGGCTATGATCAGATCCCTACCAGTTTGGGCCATTTTAGTCTTTCATTTCACTGAATTCTGGACTTTTCATATTTTTATGGACTACTTACCAACATACTTTAGCACCATACTGCAGGCTAACCTCAGAGACGTAAGTACAGAGAAAGCCCATTCTGTTCTTCTGTTTTAAATGCTTCATTAAGTAAATCTCTGTCCCACGTATGACCACAAAAGCAGGGGAAATGGACCCAGGACTTTTGTGTAGGAAATGCAATCAGGTTCACTTGAATTCTAATTCATCTCACTGTGACCTACGGCTTTTTGGGGAAGACTGGTAGGGTTCTATGTAAGCCTGACCTTCACAGAATGTCATAATTTCTAAGGGACCCATGCAAAAATGTTATGTTCAAAACAATTGACATTTGCAAACAAGACACTCTGCTGGCAGCATAAACAATACAGCATTAACAAAGCAAATTCTCCATTGGGGAATGGTTCACGGGGAGCATATACAACAAATGCTGAACACAAGAGAGTGTTAATAGGACATAAAGTTCCAAATGAGACTTCTACCAGAAACTTGCAGGTAATGTTCTTTAACAATATTTTTTCAAGTATGACACATAAAGAGAAAAGTGCACGTATGTGTACAGATCTCTATTCAGAAAATGAACAGATGCTGTGATAGTCAGGTAGGAGCCTTTCAATTCCTATAAGATGGAGGTCTTTGTTTTCCTATTTTTTTAAAATGTTTTTATTTATTTTTGAGGGACAGAGAAAGAGTGTGATCAAGAGAGGGCAGAGCAAGAGAGATACACAGAATCTGAAGCAGACTCCAGGCTTTAATACGGATTTCCTGTTACTGGACTGAGCTCCAGCACAGAGCCCATCATGGGGCTCAAACCCACAAACCATGAGACTGTAACCTGAGCTTAGGTTGGGTGCTTAACTGACTGAGCCATACAGATGCCCCACATAAACATTTATAACTGTTATCAAATTGTCCCCACAGGGCGCTGGTAATATTTTCGAGTACCTGATTACCTATGGCATCACCACTGATCATGTCGAAAAACTGTTGGATTTTTGCCAGTTTGATCCATAAAAAATAGGATTCTGACAGCTTTTTGTTTTTGTTTCACCTTGAGGTCAGATATCTTTTAATATGTTTAGGAATCACTCATTTTTCTTTCCTTATAAACTGTTCCTATCCTTTGCCTATTGGGTTTGTTCTTTTTAAAACCTATTTCCAGGTGACCTTTACATGTAAAGAGAACATTAGTATTTTTTTTTTTAATTGAACTACATGGATGTTTTTCCTTAGGCACTAGAATTGTGTTGGCTCAGTCCAGTAACAGGAAATCCATATTAAAGGTGATATGTATTTAAGAAAAGCAAAAGATTTAAAAAACATTTTTTTTTTAAAGAGGTGGCCACCTGGGTAGTTTAGTCGGTTAAGTGTCCGACACTTCAGCTCAGGTCATGATCTCGCAGTTCATGGGTTCAAGCGTCGGGCTCTATGCTGACAACTCGGAGTTTGGAGCCTTCTTCGGATTCTGTGTCCCCCTCTCGGTCTGCCTCCCACCCCCTGCTTGCACTCTCTTTTCTTCTCCTTCTCTCAGAAATAAACAACTATTAAAAATTTTTAAAAAGAAAGTGAAAACCTGTAGATGTAGACAAGCCCCTTGTCAATCTGTGTCATAGTGCGGGGAATGAGGCACGCTGCTCACCTTTCTCCCGTCCTCAGATAGGGATCCTCACGTCCCTACTGGTAGGGACTACCTTTATCTGCACTATCCTCGAAGGTCTATTGGCAGACTTCCTTCTTTCCAGAAAACTCCTCACACTCACCGCCATCAGGAAACTGTCCTCCGCCATAGGTGAGGACCGAGGGCACGGGGATGGAGGTGGGAGGCTCGGGGCAGTTGCTCAGTCCCTCTGTGTCCCGATGCAGGGGTTCTCATCCCGTCGGCAGTCCTCATGTGCCTGCACTGGGTCAGATCCAGCCTGAGCGTCACCATGGCCCTCCTGGTACTGTGTCATGCTGCCATCCCTTTCTGCCAGATAGGAGCCTTGATTAACGTACTGGACATTGCTCCTCGGTAGGAACCCCTCTGCCTCATCCTCCCACAGGCCCAGTTCAGGCCCAGCCTCCCCAAACGTGCTCTGACGCACCAGTGAGGTGTGAGCCATGCGTGTGACAGCTCACAGGAGGTGTCAGTGCCTGCTCTACACATAAATCATTCTCAGAAGGGACCCAAGGCTGGTCAGCCCCTGGGGACTTAGTTTTCCAAGGAAGACCAGGGGAGAACAGGGGGAGGCAGTGGTCACACTCACAGGTCAGTCAGGGGAGGGGTAGAGGCCCACATACAGCTGACCAGTGATCAGTACAGCCCTGTGAGAGTCCCCAGGGACTGGTCACATGCAGCTTTAATAAAGGCCAAGCTCTAATGACAGGACAGCAAGAGAGACAGGGGCCTCGCACAGAGGTGGCATCCACAATGTTTGGGACTCCCACATGTGGCTTCCGGGACCCTTTCCCGGTCAGCAGAACATACGCTGGCTTTAGACACTGGGGCCTTGGTCTCCGGGGAGACAACATCTCATCCAGTGACCAGTCCTTTTTACCCGAAAACCAGGCCACAAGATCAGGGTCTGTAGCAGACACTAAGGGAACACACAAACGTGGTGTGAACCGTCCATCTACGTTTAGTATCAACCATGATGAGCAGTGCGTGCAACTTGCCCCGGGCACTCTAACAGGGTTGTGCTAATCACTGGTCAGGCACGTCACCAGCTTGAGCCAAGGGTCTGCTCCAGGCACGCCTAGACATGAGCATGGGGTTGCAGCAAGTAAGCAGAGATTAACGGCTTGCTTATGCTGGAATATTCTTTTCCGTCTCAGGTACACTGGCTTTCTCAAGGGACTATCACAAATCTTTGTTTACCTCTCAGGAGCCATTTCTCCCACTGTTACTGGATTTATAATAAGTCAGGTGAGGTCAAACGCTCTGCTGAAAATATGCATGAGAGAAACCTATAGAGGTCACCCAGCCGAAGTCAGACCGAAGACATTTTTGTTCCCCCCTCAATGTGGCTCAACTTAAAGCTCAAGAGTCCTGAGACCCCTCATGATCTAACCCCTTCGTGATCTAACTCCCCTCCTAATCCAACCCCCTCGTGATCCAAACCCCCTCATGACCCAACACCCCTCGAGATCCAACCCCCCTTGAGAGCCAACCTCCCTCATGATGTAACCCCCATCATGATCCAACCCCCTCGCGATCCAACCCCCTCGTGATCCAACCCCCCTCCTGAACCAACCCCCCTCACGATGTAACCCCCATCATGATCCAACCCCCCTCGCGATCTAACCCTACTCCTGATCTAACCCCCCTCATGATGTAACTCTAGGCTCAGCTCTTGCGGGACAATTACCATGTTGAGGGTGTGGAGTGATGGAGAAGTCTCCGTGTTATGAGTTTATGCTCTAAGAAAGAGTCTTTAGAAGATGAGCTTTTCCTACTAATCATCAAAATCTCTCACAATATTCATGGCACTGTTTGCCAAGTATCCAGTGGCCAACCATTCTGGTGTGCCAGTGACTGGGAGTTTCCCTTCCAGCCACTGATTGATATGCGGTCAGGAAACAGCTTTTAATATGGATATCCTCAAATTGAATTTGTTTCCCTTGTTATGCATTCATTCACCCATCCATTCAGTAATTCAACATTAGCACGTGCCATGCACTGTTTAAGGGTACAAAGCAAACAAGAGTCCCTGCTCTGGTGAAACTTATATTGTAGTGGCCAGAAAACTAATGATGTAAGTAAAACGCACAGGTTATGGAACAGTGGCCAAGTGCTCAGAGAAGAATAAAGCAGGAGAGAATAGGGCACAGAGAAAGTCTGGGATTCCACTGTCAAATAGGGTGGTCATGGAAAGACTCACTGAGAAGTAACATTTAACTAAAGACTAGAAGCAAATAAGAGAGACAAATGGTTATCCGGGAGAGGAATATTCCAGCAGAGGAAGAGGCCAGGGCAAGGAAATGACCTGAGTATTCCAGGACAGATCAGGAAGCCCATAGCGGCGGGAGCAGAGCCAGGGTGGGGAGAGGAGGACATGTCCCAAAGCCTTCATGACCCAGAGGGGCAAGACGGAGGGGACCATTGACGATTTGTCACTTCCTGCTTCAAGGATGCTGAGTTTGGCTGGAGAAATATCTTCCTGATTTCAGCTTCCATGAACCTATTAGGCCTGGTCTTCTACCTCATCTTCAGCCAAGCAGAGGTCCAGGACTGGGCCACAGAGCAGACGCTCACTCAGTTCTGAGCAAACAGGATGCCTGAACTCCTAATGTCCAGCCATTCACAGCTGGCCCTCATGGGCATTCCCCCATGGCACCTGCCCGGCGGGCTAGTCATTTAATTTGAACTGCTTTGTTTCCAGTATCTTCTCAGAGACCTTGGCTGTGTAGTACCGAAGGTGATGCTTGCATATTTTACAGGGGTGGGTAGGAGGTGGGGAAAGGCTAGTTATCTAAGTGTGAGCTCCTGAAAGCACTGAATTTCTAGTGCTCTGCACTCTTTCCACTATTATAGTGACATAAGAAAAAATATATAATTGGGGAGCCACTTGGGGGGCTCAGTCAGTTAAGCAACTGACTTTGGCTTAGGTCGTGATCTCATGGCTTGTGGGTTGGAGCCCTGTGTCGGGCTCTGTACTATCAGTGCAGAACCTGATTGTGAGTCTCTCTCTCCCTCCCTCTCTCGGCCCCTCCTCAACTTGTGTGCACGCTCTCCCTCTCTCTCTCTCTCTCTCAAAAAAAAAAAAAAGTAAACTTTAAAAATAATACATATTTTGTGTCTGCCCCAACTTTCTGGTACAGAGCTCCAGAATTTCAGGTTAGTAATTTCCCGAGTGAGAGAGAGGATGGGGGCACCTGCCATCATCAGATCTGGACTCAGTCCCTGGTTTCTGAAAGAGCTTCTAAGACCTTTGGACTGGACTTTGTGGAGCAATGACCGTGTCTGTGGGTTTCTAATGAGATGGCTGGGGGCTCGGGGTGCCCGAGAGCCTCAGGACTGGGAGGGGCTCCAGAAAGACCAAGGCACCACTGGATGGTTAGAACTTTCAGCTCCACCATCTCACCCCCAGGGAGGGGAGAGGGCCTGGAGGATGGAGTTATTCACCAACTGCCAATCATGTCATCAATCACCTCTACACAATAAAGCCCCTGGGAGCACCTTAAACAACGGGGTTCCAAGAGCATCAGGTTTGGTGAGCATCTGGAGGCTCGGGAGCAGTGGGGCACCTGGAGGGGACAGGGGAGCTCTGTGCCCCTCCCCACCCTGCTCGCCCTAAGCAGCTTTCCCATGTGGCTGTTCTGGGTTACAACCTTTTTTTTTTTTTTTTTTTTTAATAAAACCTCTTTTATTACAATGACAGATAAAACAGAAGTCCTCTTTTCCTCCCCTCTCAACTTGCCCCCTCAAAGCCAATCACAAATTTAATTATATTCTTCCAGGCCAAGTCTTCGTGGATTTTTTTCCCTTGAGTTCAAGTTCCTTTCAATGATTAGATGCTTTTTTCACTTATCCAAAGCTTTGAGGATGACTTAATAAGTATATTCTATCTATGCAGATCAAATCCCATAAAATTTAGACCCTAAAATGAAGAGAGGCTGTTTCTTACTTCCAAAAATAAATAATTAAAACACAACGAAAGTTAAACATTTTATTATCTTTGTATTCAATCAGGTTCACATTTCTTGCAAGTATATTCTTTCTCAGAAACCAGCAAGAGTAAGCAAACTGTTTTCCCGAGTTCTGTGAATCATTCCAGCACATTTTCAAACCGAGGACGGGGTCGTGAGAACCCACAACCTTGGAGCTTGGCCAAACAGGAACGTGGGTACCTCGGGCACCGGCTGCCTTAACCGGTGTCCGAGGTGGGTGCAGCCTTGTGGGCTGAGCCCTCCTTAACCGGTGGGGTCTACACTAATTCCAGGCAGTTAGTGTCAGAGTTGAGTCCCCCTGTAGGATGCCCGCTGGTGCCCACGGAGATTTAGAGAACTGCTAGGTGCGGAAAATCCACACCCTTGGCGTCACAAGTGTTCTGAGTGTAGACACTACTTTCCTTATTCATCTGGGTAAAAGCGACAGGGGCCACAAGACAGTGTCTCATCCAAACACAGCAGGAGGCTGGAACCATGGGAGTCAGAACGGGAGGAACTGTGTCCAAACCTCCGGAAGACGACCCGGGAACGACCTTCCGCAGCGAGCCCCAGACAACGGAAGCCGTAGTGCACGCCGTCCAGAGGCCTCGGCCACGAGGCCAGAGCAGGTCCGGCTGTCTGCCGCCAGGTGAGGGGGGACACAGCGCCACTCCGAGGCTTCACGCGAGCAAGCTGCCCGGGTGGAAAATACCAAGGAGGAAAGGACAGCAGAGGCCGAATCCACTGCGACCCGAGCAGTGCACGTGCCTGCGACCAACGGCAGGGGAAACGTCAACCACTTCAGATAACTTGCTTCCTGCGGACGCAAGCGCTGGAATCAGCCATTTCCGCAACGTGGGTGGTGCTCGGGCCTCCCCCGGCTGCACTTCCCACAGCTGCCTGCCTTCCGGCCGTCTTGAGTCAGCCCCACATCTGCTTGGTGGATCCACGGAGGCCCCTTGCATCTGGTGTCCGTCCTGCGCCCTCAGTGTGTTCATGCCCCACACCTGTGTCGATGCCCTTCCTCCGCTCCCCTGACTGCTGGGATCCTACCTCCCCTCAGCAAGTCTCTCTCAGTAATCACGTCACTAACGTCACACTTAGCACCTCCAAAGACGTGTGTTCAACAGCTATGCGGGCTTGACCCCCCTTCCAAATGTCCGGGGAGTGTGTGTGGTGTGTCCGCTTTCATTAACCCCCAGGTGGGCAATACTGGGGCCATGAGCGGGGGGCCAAAGCACCAGATGGATATTAGGGAACATAGACCATGGGGGCACGACAGAGACCAAAGTCAGAGCTGGCCTCAGGGATGACGGTGTCTCAATACAGGGGACGGCACAATGACTGTGGGAAACGGAAAATGAGCGCTAGCTGGCTGCAAGCATGGCTGACGCGGCTCTGCGGGGGAGGGAGCCCCTCCGCGCGCTTTCAACGGAGCTGAGACTTGAGGACAACAGGGAACAGACGCAGGGGGCAGCTGGGGAGCGCCCCCAGAGGACGAGGGCAGCGGCGAAGGATCCAGGATCCGGAGGCCAGGGAATGAGCGGCGTGCGGTGTGAGAGGCGGCGGCAGCCGCGGGTCTCGCGAGAACATGCTGTGGCGCCGGGAAGTGCGTGTCCTTTATCCGGAAATCCGCAGAAGCAGCTCCAGGCTCTGAGCCTCCCGCACCGAGCCGGACGCCGGTCTCGAACTCACAACCGTGAGATCATGACCTGAGCCCAAGTCGGACGCTTACCCGACCGAGCCCCCGGGCGCCCCTGGCTGACTGAGTAAGTTCTTCTCAAACTGGCTTCCTCGCCCCAGGGACACTTCTCCTGGGCCTCCGGTACGGCGCCCTCCTCCGGACGTACAGGGACGCGGGACGGCGTGGCGAACGACTCGGCCTGGCGCCAGGGCCCGCGCACGGGACGAGGCCCACCATCCTTCGCCGGACGTGGGTGCCGCATCCCGACTGTCTGCTCGGCTGGGGGTTCGAGCCCCGGCGTGGAGCTGCCGCCCTCCCGAGTAGGACCGTGTTTTCTCTACAGCAACAATGAAGGCGCTTTCTGTACTTGCACAAATTCCCATTTTTGTAACTAATCTGTTACTAAGAAAGTGAAGAGAAAGATTTCCTTCTGCGACCACGTCCTCCGGTCCGGCTTAGAAGCACCCGGGTGCTTTGAAAGCACGAGCTGGCGTCTCCTGTGCCAGCGGGCAGAGCGCTCCTGGCACGCTGCATGGACACCCCGCTCGGCCCCGGGACAGACCCCAGGAGGGCAAGCGGCCAGGGCGCTAGAGCGGGGGGCCAGCGGCGGGACCCTCCGGGGGAACAGCGAGGACGGCACCACGTGTCATCCACGCACAGGGACAATTCCCAGTAAAACAGCTGCTGTCGCTGACTCAGGCCTGGTTGTGGGGCCCCCACGGTGTTTCTACACGTGGGCCGTGTACACAGGCAACCTGGGCGGCCGTGCTGCACTTTGTCCAAGCGCGGGGAGATGCCGGGCGACTGCGAGCCGATTCGACCCCTCGCACCAAAATGTCACCGCTTTCAGCAAACACGGTCCGCTGGAAGGGAGAAGGTACCCGTAGTTCTCCTTTCTGGGATCTACAGTTGGCCAAATTCGGTGCCTAATTCTGTAGCAGGGTGTGTGACCGTGTCATATCCAAGACTGGCGGAGGTGGCAACATGTAACACACGTAAAATTCCGAAGCGAGGAAACGTGAGAACCTCACAGTGGTTGTTCAGGGTGTGACTGAACACCAGTCACGTGGCTCTAAGACAACGTAGGGTTATACACAAGTGAACGTCTCAGGAGAGTGGAAATGGAGAGAGGCTTTGAACAAATGTTTACATGTGTGTCTTCCTCCTGACCCCAAGGGTGAGACAGGGACGCCCACTCATGCCCCTTCTGTTCAGAATCACACTAGATTCTAGGCAGGGCAAGTGGGCAAAAAGAAGAAATAAAAGGCATCTAGACTGGAAAAGAAGTAAAACTATATTTACAGATGACAAAATCTTACATAGAGAAGTCATAAGGGATGCCCTAAAAAACTATTAGAACAAATATGTTTAGCAAGGTTTTTGGATACAAGCTCAATATACAAAGTCCTATTTCTTTTTTATTTTTTATTTTTTTATTTTTATTTATTTCTAGGAGAGAGAGAGAGACAGCGTGAGCAGGGGAGGGTCAGAGAGAGAGGGAGTCACAGACTCTGAAACAGGCTCCAGGCTCTGAGCTGGCAGTCAGCACAGAGCCCGACACGGGGCTCGAACCCACGAACCGTGAGATCATGACCTAAGCGAAAGTCGGACGCTTAACCGACTAAGCCACCCAGGCGCCCCTACAAAGTCCTATTTCTAACAACTTGCAATGAATAACCCAGAAATGAAACTGAAGAATACACTTTCATATAAAATAGTATAGGAGAGCCTGGGTGGCTCAGTCGGTTAAGCAGCCAACTTTGGCTCAGGTCATGATCTCACAGTTCATGGATTTGAGCCCCACTTTGGGTTCTATGCTGATAACTCAGAACCTGGAGGCTGCTTTGGATTCTGTTGTCTCTCTCTCTCTCTCTGCTTCTCCCGTGCTCATTCTCTCTCTCTCAATAATAAACAAAAAATATTTTTTTTAAAGAAGGAGCTTAAAGCCATGTAAAACACGGATGGACTGATAGATCAGGGCCGGCAGAGCAAGCCCCCTGCTGTCGAAGATGTGAAACCCTCAAACCACAGGATGGACAAGCTGCAAACCAAGCATTTAAGCTCCAGGCACTCACCTTGTCAAAAAAAACTTTTGTTTCCTAAATAGTTTACATTAAAGCCAAACACCAAAGTTAGACAATGGGGAAAAAAATTCTATGCAGGCTGAGAACGGCAGGGAAAGCATTAAGACCATGACCGTGAGAAGGAAACCTCTGGTGCCCCCTTTACTCAGTGCCGGAAAGGCACC